TTCCTCCCAGTTCAAAATGCTTAGATTTCTTAATGGCCAACATCCTTTTTGCTCCAGGGTTGGCCTCAAAACACTCGAGCCTCAGCACAATTTTCTTTGTGGTCTTAGAAAGGAAGGAGATTTGGCTTTGACCACCACAGCGGCTCTGCTTCTGAGCATGGGCGAGGGGAGGAATCCTTGCCCTCCCGTTCTCTGTCCCTTTTTTGAGACTACTTTTTACAGTAAGTTGGGAGCGTTTGGGGGACAGTCACCAGTTGGGCAGCTGCATTGGGAGCAGAGGGAGGCCCAGTTTGACTTGCCATCTCCCTTTTCCTGACAGCGTCTTGCACCCAGCATTTTGGTTCCTCTATCCATTTACCATCGTCTAATGTGCTTCCCGTTTCATTTGTGCAGTCCCCCTTGATTAGATCCTAGGATCCCAGGGATGGTCTCGTTTCTCTCTGGACCCCAGTGGTGTGGAGCACATAGCTCACTTGTTCTCTAAGCAAGACTTGAAGAAAGGCTGCACCTTTCGGGCAGCTAGGACTCAGGCACTCCCCACCGCCTCTTTCCCTCTCCCATCAGCGGAACGCTCCCTGTGCAGACATCCTAACACTTTGTTTTCATCCCATTTGCTCACTGAGTAACACTCAACATTTTGTCAGCATTTGCTCTTTCCTGCCTGTCGGGCTCCAACTTCATCTCCAGCCAACCACCCAGCTTCACCTCCTCCCATTAGGCACACCACTAGTGACTGCGACCTCATTCACGTCCTCTCCTCTCCTTTGTGCCACCTCTCCAAGCTGGCAGGAGCTTCAGAGGCGTCTAATCCAGCTGGCCCTGGGAAAAGCCTTACTCACACGTGGTGATTCTGCTACTGTCACCCCAAGGGCCCAGCAGAACAGGTCTGGGAGTCCTTCTAGTAAGTGACCTTTCCATAGGCTTCACGGCTTTCCAGGCATACATAACCTCATCCATGATCCATGACAATTGTTCTCCTGCCCTCTCTAGGTTTTCTCATTCCCAAGTCCTCCAACAGACCCTCTGATGATATGTTAACCATCCCTCTCAACACGCTCGTGAGTCTGCCACAAATTAGACCTCTCTGAACTTTTGCACAAGCACTCTTGTTTCACTATGCTCCACTTACCCTGGATTTCTGAAATCTTTTTTCGTAATTATTTGTACAACCCTACATTTCCCCTTCCTGAATTTAATCTCCTTCATTCCATCCCTTCTTTGGATGCAGTCACCTGAACTGTTTGTCAAGCTTTCACCTGAAGATTAGACTAACAGGCTATTCAAATTATCAGTAAAAATTCTGACAAGCACAAGGCCACAGAGGTCAGGAGAGACCCCTCTCTTTCCAAGATGCTATAGATCTAATGACAACCCTCAAATCCACTCATTCCACCAGTTCTCAGCTCATCTCAGACATATCATCATATAATCCCTGTTTTATTCATAAATGAGAACCTTTCTAAGAGACTTCACCGATCTAAATACATGTGCGCTGTCCACGTAGAGCTGTGCCTCAATGGGTCACACTAGCAGCCCTGTCACAAGGTCAGCCTGGCAGTGACCACATCACACGCTAGCTCTGCCTGGCAAAACCCCTCCCCCCTTCAAGTTGCAGCTTTGGAGCCAGAGGAAAAAGATTCTTCTGTACCTGTTCATGGCACTCTGGACATCACATTCTGTACTTCATATTACAGTTATTTTTGTACAAGTTTCACCTACCTTATAGATTATAATCTCATTGGACTTGAGATCTTGGCTTGATTTTGCCTTTGCACATCAGTGTCTTGCACACAACAGGGCCCTTAATACGTGTTTCCTGAAGTTAAATCAGTCATTACAGGGCAGCCTGGAGTGATTTTAGTACAGGGGCAAACAGTTTATCACAAGCCAAGAGGAACCGCTCTGTATTGCAGGACAGAACCAGAAAGGTCTTGGAAGGCCCCAAACTTCTGCCTCACAAGGCTGGTGAGAGGCTAGTCCATGCAATGCCCTTTGCAAGCCACACATGCTGTATAAAGGCAAGCTAATTCTAATATTACTAGGAGGGGGAAGGAGTGCCTTCCCCCAAACATTCTCTCCATTTTGGGGCTAGTACATTCATACCCAGGAGAATGAAACTCAAAGTGACTGGGCATCTATACAGCCCCCTTCTGATTTCTCAGATCTGCCTTAAGGTCTGTTGGTCACCCCTTACCCCAACTTGCCATCCCAAAGAGGCCCAGGACACAGAGAACAGTACTGACTTAAATGTTTAGTATTATACGCCATATACCTGACTACTCAGTACTCCACACTTGTATGAAAAACCCAGCCCTTTGACATCTGTCAGTAGAAGCTGTTTCTTCTTCTGTTGTCGACATGATCTGTGACAGGGAAAAAACCCCTACCCACGAGTCAGAAAGATTTGTTTTTTTATGGTTAGAAATAAGCTAAAGCTTTTGATAACTGTTTCAATCCCAGAGCCCCTGAAAATTTTTAAAATCCAAAAATAAAAAAGCTTTGAAGTCTTAATATAAGGAGAAAAGGGGTCTTATACCTTTTAATACAGAGAACTTAAGACAAATTTTAGTAAAACAGAAAAATAAAGATGTGGCACATTTCTTGATCCAGAAAGCTGGTGGCTGTGTTGCCGCGTTCCCTCAGCACTGCGTCCTACTTTGAGGGTCACCCCACCCATTTTTATAACTTCCAATCCTGGTAATTCCTCTCCCACCCCCAAGTTCACTAGCTGGTTCACAGCACTCCTCTTTAAATCACTTTTTGGCCTTATGGGGACTTCAATAGATGTGGTGGTGTCCCTTTGACCCTATGACCTCTGCACAATCACAGATGGTTATAACCTTGATCTGCCCATCACCAATAATTATTTTACCTTCATGTATTTAAAACTCACAAATTCCTGTCCCTTCATCCCTCCTCCACTCCTCAATCAAACGTTCCTACTTACTATGCAATGCATTCCCTTTCCACCTCATTCTGTTCACCAAGAACATTACCCCTACCTCTAGCCTCACTTCCTGCCCCCTCCCCCCAAATCTTAATTCTCTGATTGACCAATCAGATATCCTCAGACCCCCTGCCTCCCTGACCTTTAGGCAGATGTGTCTTTGCCCGATCTGATCCCCGTCATCCTTACACCTGCCCTGAGACTACTCATCGGCTGATGCAGTGCTGGTAGGGCTAAGTTCTGAAACAAAGCAGACTAGGTCCACCACAAACTTACATCATCCAATCTCAAGACTTCATGGTTGCTGGCAATCCTCTTACTGTTCTTTGATTAACTGCCAATCACAATGGGATAATCTCATTTTTTCTCTCTTTCTATCCTACCACTCACTGCCAGATTTAATGATGTCCAACTTATCTTCCCCATCAGCCTGTGAGCTTGGTAAGAGCAGGTACTGTTACAGTAGGTACTTAATAAATGTTCCCTCCTTCATTTGTGAGGCTACCTCCCTAGTTCACCTATTGCCTGGACTCACGTAATAGCTTCTTCACTTATCTTCCTACTTGTTTCTCCCTTCTCCAATCTACCCTCTGCACAGGGTAGCCGTTCCTAAAGCTCAGCTCTAATCATGGATAATCAGGAAGTAATAGAGGGCTCCCTCCTGTCTGAAAGACCAAATACAAACGTCCCTGGTTTGGTGGCTCCAATGCGGCCTAGTGGAGATGCCTAGATCCTTCTTTGGTCTCTGACTATAGAGGCTGCCTCAGCCTCCATGGCTTTCTTCAAAATTCAATTCAAGAGCCGCCTCCTACAAAGGCAAGGCAATCTCATCATCCTGGTTACTAGCTCTTCCTTCGTATTCTCATTAGCTCCCCCGAATTCAATTATGCCCTGGATGCGAATGACCCTCTAGTGTTATCTAGCCAGCACTAACCTCTGCTGAATTCTAGTCTGGCAATACCAACTTCTAACCAGACATCCGTCTGTCTTGCTTCCAGTCTGGCCTTCACCGCCATCTTGTAAGGAGTTAGAGGCTCACAGATTTAAAAGGGCAAGAGTCCTTCAAGGACAAGGAGTCCAATCCCTTCATTTTACAGATAAGGAAACCTCTGAATCACATTTGGGTTAGAAAGGGTAAGCAGGCAGCTACGTCTGCTGATGGTCTTCTTAGGCTCTTTAGATCTTCTACACTAAGAAGACCCAGAAAATTAGTTCTTGCCACCTAGTCCTTGGTTCTGTCAAATGGGTCAACACTAGGCACAGCTGAGTGGTGCAGTGGATAGAGCACTGGGCCTGGCAGGAAGACTCATCTTCCTCAGTTCAAATCCAGCCTCAGACACGTACCAGCTAAGTGACCCTGGGCAAGTCACTTCACCCTGTTTGCCTCAGTTTCCTCATCTATTAAAATGGCTGGAGAAGGAAAGGACAAACCGCTCCCGGATCTCCGCCCAGAAAACCCCCGTGGAGTCACGGAGAGCCGAACACTGACCAGCAGCACCAGGAACACAGAGCCCTTTGTGAAGACGACCACAATGGAGATGTATTCGGGCCGTCCCAAGCCAGCTTTTCTACGTGCCTCCGGCCCGAGCGGCTCATCGGGGAAACCAAGGCCCGGGGGGAGGCGGGGGTCTCCTCCGAGACCTCGTGGGCCCGCAAAGCCCACGCGGGAGAAGAAGAACGAAGAAACATGAGCCCTCGGGGGCCGGCGTCCGCGGGGGCGCTTCCCACCCAGACTCGGGGCCCGCAGGCCCCGCCCCCGCCGCCCCTTCTCTTTTCGGCCCAGACCGGCGGCGGAGAGCGACCCCAGGGACCCCTCCCCACCTACGGAGGGGATCACTCACCCAGGCCTCGATGGGCCAAGAAAGAGAGGGGAGCGGCCGGAAGTCGTTCCCTGCCGCCCCATCCCCCCGCCCCCCTAGGTCCGAGGGCCCCCCTCCTCGCTTCCTGGACTACGGGGCAGGGTCGGGCCGCTCCGGCCGTAGCCCGCGGCCCCTCTGGGGAGGAGGAGGAGCCGGTGCGCAGGGGCCCCCGGCGGCCCGAGGGTCTCCCTTACCGCGCGGGGACGAAGAGAAGGAAGGGCCGAGGGAGCCACACGCAGAGATACCGAGACTCCGATCTGACCCAGCCCAGCTGTGGGCGCGAGCGCGCAGCCTCACGCACGTCCTGCGTACAGACGCACTCACGCGCGCGCAGCCCGTCTTGGTTCAAGCCCCGCCCACAGGTTCCTCCCTTCTCTCTCTCTCTCTCTCCCATCCCCGCCCCATCCCCTTCACCTCCCAGGGTGAGCTAGATGGCCCAGTACGCAGGCGCGGCCCACGCGGTTTGCCTCCGCCTGTCCTCCCCCTCCCCGCTTTGCTTCCCGCCCCCCCCGCGCAGGCGCCGTGTCCCTCCCGAGGTGGCTGGCCATATAGAGGCTTGGGGGTCAAGCGTAGCCTCTTCTCCTTTACCAAGATGGCGGCTCGCTCCTGTTTCGACACAGCCTCCACCGTATGAGCTGGGTCTCCCTGCGCTGAGAGAGCAGAGAAGGTAATGTGAGGGGAGCGGAAGAGAGAGGAAACCGGAGCCTCCGCTCGGGGGTCCCTTAAGACTGCTTTCCGGAGGGGAAGGTGAAGGAGGAGAGGGGACGGCCGGATCGGGGCGCCCCGGTTGGCTGCTGCCTCCTCCAGGGACATGGCGGCGACAGCGAGCCGGCTGAGCGCTCGGGGGGCGGGGGCGCCGAGCGAGGCCGCTCTATCCCCGGCTCCGGCGCGCTCTATGCCCGGCGGCCGGCTGCCATTGGCCGGGACCGGTCACGTGGGGGCGGCGGGGCCGCTCGGGCACCATAGAGTCGGCCTGGGTCTGTCCCAGGGGACGCGGGGGCCGACGAACAAGGCCCGAGGCCCGGCCGGGCCGGGCCTGTTGCCCTCCCCTGCGCTACCCCGCGCGGCCCTGCCCTGTTCTTCCCGGGCCCGCGAGTGCCCGTCCCCTGCTCCGGGAAGGCCTCCGGGCTCCGAACCCTCCGCCCCTCCTGGCCTCAGTTTCCCATCCGTGCATTGAGAGACCGGAGCGCGGCCAAGGCCCCTCGAGCTCCGGATGGGAAAACTGAGGACAAGGTCACGGACTCTTCTGAATGTCTTTGAGCCCGGCTGAGGCCTGAACTTGGACTCGGGAGAGGTCTGGCCCCGTGGGCGGGCACCTCCCCTCTCTTAGCCTCCGTGTCCTCATCCGGAAAATGGGGCGGTGGTTGCGTGGCTCCGAGCAGACGGTGGGCCAGTTAGACCACACCGGTCGTGTGGGGAGGGGGCGGGCCCCCACGACGAGCCGCAGAGAATACCGGGGGGGGGTGTTCAGCGTAGCGGGGGGCGGGGCAGAGGAGAGCTGGGGAGCCCCGGAAGGTGAGGGAGCGGCAGAGGGGCATGGGACAGCCCTTCCTTTACCGTATTCTCTCATTTGATCTTCAAAACAACCCGGAGATGGAGGCGCTGTTCTTATAGAGCCCGTTTTACAGCTGAGGAAACTGAGGCAGGCTAAGCCGCTTTTCCAGCTCACCCGGCTCGGGGCACCCGAGGTTCTGCTACCTGGATGGGGGGTGGAGTAGATGGGAGGGATATGAAGTAGGCTTATGTCCCCGATGTGCTGTCAAGTGCTTTGCCAGCCCTCAGGCTTTGACGGATGTCATTTGCTCTAGCACACTGCAGAGGTGAGAGCACCGCTCTGCTCACTCCTTCATACCACGAAGTGGAGCCATTTAATGAATGTTCAGGTGGTGATCAGCTGCCTGCCTTCCTTTAAATCAAACCTTGTCATTCTCCCCACCCCCCTTTTCTGTTTCCTTATTAAAAATGTTCCACTAACAAGCATTTATTCACTCTCCCAACTACCCCCTTGTGATGAACAAAAGAACAAAGCCCCTGGCCCAGGTTCCTGCATCCACCCCTTCCTGCTTGCCTCAGTCTGTGCCAGGAGTCCCTCACCTTTCTGCCCAGGGGAGGTGGGTACAGCTTTGTCTGCAATTCCTGTGGTCTCTGGAGGTTGCCTTGGCTGTGGTGGTGTTTGAAGTCTTACCAAGGGCATCTTCCTAGGTTTCCACCAGCGAGCTGGCCTTGTCCCGCTGGTGATTGACTTGCTTCTCCCAAGGCAGCTTGTCCCCCACTGGGTTCCCCAGGCCTAGAGAGACAAGCAGGTGGGAGCTACCATGCCTTACTGTGTCTTGTGGGCTGTAAGACTGTGATTAGAACGTTCATTACAGAGTCATCCTTTCTTCACTCTGTGGGCACCCTGTTAGTTTCCAGTTCTTTGTCCTTATAAAAAGAGCTCCTGTAAATATTTTGGTAAGTGTGGGTGTATTTCCTCTTTCTTTGGTCTCTCTGAGGTATTGGCCTAGTACTGGTCAGTTAGCAAGTATTTATTAAGCACTTCTCATGTGCTAGGCACTGTGTTCAACATGGGAATCAGTCCGTAGACGTGTTTAGTGCCTTCACTGTGCTGTGTGCTGGCTGAAGACAGCTCTTACCCTCAAGAAGCGTCCAGTCTGACATGCAGACAAATAGATTCTAAGATAGCTCTATTCAGGATAACTAGGAAATGATGAACAGACAGAGGTTCCAGAATTAGGGAGTGGGAAAGGCTTCCTGTAAAAGGCTTCCTGTAAAAGAGGAGGTCAGTAGGCAGAACAGCCAGGAGGCCCGTGTACCCATGTGGTGGGGAGGAGGATAGTAGGAGAGGGGCCAGATTATGGAGGGCTTTGTATTTGTTCCTGGAACCCCTGGAGTTCACTGAGTAGGTGGTGACAGGATCAGACTTTGGGGGTTGAGTGGAGGATGGACTGGAGTGGGAGGAGACTCCAGGCAGGCCGGCCCCTCCCCCCAGAAGCTATAGCAGTCATCCAGGTGGGAGGTGATGAGGGGATGCACCTAGGGGGTGGCAGTGTTGGGGAGATGCTGCCCAGGTGAAGTCCACAGACCTTGGCAACAACTGGAATGTTGGAGGGGAGATAGTGAGGAGTCTGCGATGACTCCTAGGTAGGGGGCCTGTGCCCTCTATGGTAATAGGGAGGGGGGTGGTGTTTAGAGGGAAAGAGAATGAATTCTGTTTTGGACATACTGTGGGACATCCAGGCCGAGATGTCCAGTAGGCAGTTGGAGATGCAGGTTTGGACGTCAACAGAAAGACTGGGGCAGTATAAGTAGGTTTGAGAGTTATCAGCATAAAGATGATACTTGAATTCAGGGAGCTGATGAGATTACCAAGTGAAGTGGTACAGACAGGGGAGAGAAGAGGGGGCAGGACAGAACCCCAGGGACACCCGAGGTCAGAGGGCATGATCTGGAGCGGTCAGAGAGGGTGGAGGGGAGCCAGGAGAGAGCTCGAGGAGTGTCAGAGAGAAAAGGGTATGAAGGAGCGAATGAACCACAGCAGTAAAAGCTGCGGAGGCCAAGGAGATGGGGACAGAGAAAAGACCTTGGGTTCTGCAGCTAAAGATCACTGATAACTTTGGAGAGGTTTGGGGGGATAACGAGATGCAGTCAGAGGTGGGCATTCCTGGGACCTTCCAGGGAGAAGAGGTTTCAAGAAGGCCCATGATGGCGAGTCGAGAGATGGGAGTGAGGGGAGAAGTGAAGGCCATGTCTGGGTCTGAGGACATGTGCTGGTAGTGATGTGGGTGGCAGAGTAAGACCTCTGATTTTGAATGACTGGGGTCTTGACCTGCCTGAAGCCTGGACCAGCTGCCCTTGTGAGGCGAATTTGATCTCAGGTTATCATTGAAAAGTCCTTCAGCCCCTGCTTTTCTGCCTCTTTATCTGGGTCATGTTAGATTTAGTTTGATCCTGAATTAGACGATTTTTTTCAGCATATACTTTGGAGCGTGGGCCTGTGGTTGCATCATCTAGTATCGGTGTGTGCAGAGGGAAGAGCTCTTGCCATGCTCTGACCTGTTACCTCCTTCACACAGGAAGGAGCCCATTTTACTGAGCTTTCCCATCCCCCTTGTGGCTGGTGCCCTTCCCTTTGTTGGTGTTTGTGTGTTGTTCCCTCCTGGGAAGGTGAGCTCCTCCAGGGCAGGGGCCCCTCACCCTCGCCTCTCTTTGTCTCCCCAGCCCCCAGCATAGAGTCTGGCACGTACCAGGCTCCTATTAAAATGCTGGGTGACCGCCTGGGGTCTGATTGGGCTCGGTCACTTGTGAGGTGAACAGACTCATCCTTCATGCTTCTGATTATTGAATACTTACTCTCCTTTAGCTGATCACTAATTTCTCTTTCATAAAAATACAGTGGAACCCCAGAATGTTATTTTATCGCATGATAACAAATCCAGGAGCCCTGTAAAGGGACCTTTCGGAGGTATTTTCACAAAAGGTAGAGCCCTCCAGGCGCTGCTCCTGGGCACGATTTTCCCTGCTGCCCTTCGCAGAATGTCTGCTGCAGAATCCTGCAGGCAGATTTGCCGTCTTGGATCAGATTCGATTGGTATACCCCGTTTTGAGATAATTTTTTGTTTACGGAGTTTAATAAGACCTTACACATCAAAGCTCTGTCTAATTTCAGACAGGCTGCCAAATTTGTGTGTCCTCTTTCTTCCCCCCTTCCCCATCTCCTCTCAGTGTCACTCTATCTTTATTTCTCTCTCTTTCCCCCCTCTCTCCCTTTCTCCTCCTGTGTCACTCTACCTTTATGTCTCTTTCTTTTCTCTATCACTTTCCTGCCTCTCCTCCCCTCGCTATCCCTCCTCCTTTTTCTCCCCCCACCTGTTTCCCCCTTCCTCTCTCTCCCTCCCTCTGTCACTCTGTCTCTCTTCCCCTCATCACTGTGTCCCCCCCCCCCAGTACCATGTGACTGGTCTCAACAGAAAGGGCCTCTCTGAGGCTATTACCACCCTTAAGATTTTCTCAGCCATGTGACATGGCATCTTCTTTCTGCTCTGACTAAGCCCTTGGGCTTAGTTCTTAGAAGGTTCCCATGAGTGCTTGCTCCTGTTCTGCTCGCAGGATCCAGGGGAGTGCCAGGCTTGGACCACCACCTCCGGATCATCTCCTGGCCAGGACCAGGCTCCCCCTGAGCCCCAGTTTTCCTTTCTTGCCTGCTCTGACCATCCTTCTTGGGGCCTCTGCTATCCCCGGTGCTGAACAGGCCTCCTGATTCTTTAACTTCTGGGAGTCAAGTGATACCTGTGTCAGCCAGGCTGTGGTGTAGCCATTGAGGCAGCCTCGTTGTCTTTGGAATTTCCTAGTGTGGCCAGAGCCTCTCATCCTTCCAGGATCTCTTGCCCTCTACGACCTCTGGCTTCATCTCTTGCCTTTTTTCCAGTGATGCTTATTATTTTAAAAGTGGGTATTAGCACAGGCCCAGGGAGCCTTTTCCTTAATTCATTTTGGACACTGTTGTTTTCTCACATCCACAGAAGGCTGTCCTACAACACCGACCCCATCACAAAGCTGCCCTCCTCCCTCTGGACCTCCTCATACCACCGCTGGGGGCTGGCTTCATCGGAGCGCCAAAGCGCAGCAATCACCTTGTCAGTGGTTCTCCTGGTTCTGTTCATCTCGGTC